CACTATTTCACTCCAGCCTGGGCGACAGAGCAAGACTCTGTCTCAAAAAACAAACAAACAAAAACAAAATACCCAATTCAGATGTCTCCTCCTTCACTGTCAGAGCTGTCCCCTAGCAGAGCTGTAACCACTGGTCACTGGGAAGCCTCTTCTCCCAGGCTGCTGGCTCCCTGGCCATGCCTTCCCCAGCCACCTCTGCAAGGCTTACTGTAGAGGCCCAGAACCAGGATTTGAATCCTATCCTGACACCTGCAGGCTGGGTGATCTTGGATGGGCTAATGGCCCTTCTGAGCCTCAATTTCCTCACTTGTAAAATGGGGCAATAATAATCGCACCCACCTGACGGGCTTGTTGGAGGATTAAATGAATTAAAACGTGAGTATTTGGCACATAGTAGGTGCTCAGTAAATATTACCAATTATTATCAATATCATTCCTGACTGTTGGCTAAGGGATTTGGGTTCAAGCACAAATACCCAGGAAGTGTGAGGATGAGCGTGTCGGGGTGCCCTGACTCAGAGGATGCCCCAATCCAGAGGTTACTCGGGGCACAGGGTTGAGCTGGTTCTAGATGGCTTTGCCCTGACTCATCCCATCAGGTCAGACAGGGGCAGAGGTGGCTCAAGCAGGGAGGGAGGGGACGCACCTTTTGGTCAGAGGTAGGCACAAAGGTCAGGAACTCGTCCACATGGCCCACAGAGAGCCAGTCTGAGTAGAGCTCCACGGGTGCCTGCACCTGCTGGGCCTTCAGGAAGTTCCGCACCACCCTGGCCATCTGCCGCCCGCCGGACCTGGCCAGGAGGGAGAGGGCGTGCAGTCACCTTGTGCCTGGGAGGCATCAGGCCTTACCTCTCAGTCATCATCAGATCTGCCACCAGGGGGCGGGATTGCTCAAAGAACGCTTTAAATGTGGGGTGTGGAGGGTGGACAGGCCAAGACAACAGAGAATGGACTGTGCATTTGTGTGTGCATGTGAGCACCTACTGTGTGCTGTCCTTAGGGTACTCTCACTAAATGTCTTGTTTAATCCTCCTGATGACCCTATGCTGTACATACAAATACCAGCTCCAAGTTACATCTGAAGTGTGCTCGGCGGAGCTGTCTGGCCTCACTCCCCACTGCGCACCTCCTTGGTCACTTGGCTCCAGGTCCACCGGCCTCCCTGCTGGTCTGCTGTCTCCAGCCTGCTCCTGCCTCAGGGCCTTTGCACAGCTGTTTCTACACCCTGGAATATTCTCCTAAGTAGCCACATCTTTAACTGTCTCTTCTTTCTTTCTTTCCTTCTTTTCTCTTTCTTTGTTTTTCTTTTTTTTCTCCTTCCTTCCTTCTGTTCTTTTTCTTTCTTTTCTTTTCTTTCTTTCTTTCTTTCTTTCTTTCTTTC